AAGAGCACGAACAGGAATGAACGACGGACCTCAACGGTGACTGATAAGTACTCAAGAGGTTGCAGGTGCCCATTCAGGAGGTGCAGGCTCAGAAGAAATGACGAGCTTAAGGAGAGATACGCAAGCCTGCGGTCGAGTCTGCAAATCGCACGAGATCACTGTGAGACCGAAACTAGTACTAGTATGATTAGAATGTTTTAGTTTTTTAAGGTCCCAATTAGCGCGATGACCATTCACCTCTTAGGATGTATAAATAGCTATTTAATTTCATATTTTATACACGGAGTTGACAATATGATGTACAATTTCAGGCCTATGCTCACGTTGTTGTGCGTGCGGCTTTCTCGTTGTAAATGATGTTATTGTCAACCTTTTCAGTTCAGTTGCGTAACCTCATCCATCTAGCGTCATCGCGACGTTCTTCGCCTGAAATACATTTCTGCAGCACAATTTTTTACTGCAGTCACCGTTCTTCCTCATGACGTGGCAAGAATACTACAGTATTCACAAATTTATGTTTTCGTAGCAGCCACGAAGAGTGGCCATCGTTTCAAAAGTCATTCATCGTTTTGAAGCATTTCAATCGAAATTAACCATCGTCGCATGCAACGCCACATCTCAACGTTTCAAAGGACAACTACGGTTCTTCCTCCTTGACCGCCCAAGATTGGCAGATCAAAGACCTGAAAAGCCTCAGTTTGATGAAGTTCAAAATGCCTGTTGAATGTTGCTCCAAAAGGAAACTGAACGGTATGAAAATATTTCTCCATTTTTTGTTCAAATCTCAATTTCAATCACGAAGGAGTTTGTTTTTCGTCTTTCCCAACCTTTTCAAGAATATCTTCTTGAAAAGCCTGTTCTGTAAGTATTTTCTACAGTGGCAAAATTACAGTTAGAAACAGTAGCGAGATATGCATACCCAAGCTTACGGCGAGGTATGGAGTAAAACGGTGGAACCATAGTTGACTATGACCATTACGTGGTTTCGAATGGAACGTCAGGCATATTTTTCTCTTATCCCATTGCATTGAAGGCGACTATAGATGTGTACATGCATCCCACTGAATATCGAGCATATAGGGGTAAGAATTATATAAAGAAATCACTTGGAATAATTTATTGCTAATACGCAACGTCCAACGTTCGCCTGATCGTTTCTTTGATACATGAGATGAAAAAAGACAAAGATCATCCTGGCCAAAATCGAGGCTTTTTTACGCTGAAGGAAACTCCACCGCCGTATTTGGCAAGAAAATGGAGTACCGCTGAAACAGAAAAGTAAGCTGAAGTATTTTGGCGTAACATCTACGAGTTATGGTAGGCAGAACGTCGAAATGGATGCACAGATCGACCAGGCAAACGCCCTAATGCGCAGCTGAACCGGCCTGTGGAGATGTAGAAGCAGCTGAGCTGTAGCTTCCTTGAGCATCTAGTTTGAATTATTAGCGTGAATGCTGGATATTAAAAGAAGCAGTGCGATTTTTACAAATGGTAGAAACGATCGTTCTTCGAAAGACTGCAGGCACGACAAGACTCGAGATAGCAGCGGTTGTGAGCCGCTTGTCAAAACTTGCACTGGTTTTGTTTTTAATGGCACGATGATTCGTCATGAGAGATTGTCAAGACCATGTGCAGGTAAAGCCAGCAAAGGATATGATCCGGGGGCAGGTCCCAGACCAGAGGGCTAGATTTATGCATAAGTCCTTGATATTCGCTGCTTGGAATCCGGACACTGGCAGAGATTTCCGCTTCGCCGTAGCCAGAGGCC